CAGAGCGAAGGCACCCGTCAGCTGCCTGGATGCCGCTGCAGTCCCAGCGATCCGAGGGCTCCCAGGGAATGTGGAAGAAACGAGGACGTTTTGCATGAGAAACGCTTCTGCTCTGCTGATGCATTTGTAATGCACCAGCTGGGGGCTTTGATCTTTATTAAAAAGGGAGCCCGTGCAGTCTGGCCAGCGAAGGGTGCCCTGCTTTAAGCGTGCACTTTCAGTATCACAGTTCGCAGGCTCCATCCCATCACTGCTGAGCTGCAGTTTTGGCTCTGGGGCTTTGCTGCTTGGTGAAATAGTGAGGAAATACTGAGGACAGGACCTCTGCGTGGTTCCCCAGCAATGTCCTCAGGCTTCGCCGCGCTCCCCTGGGCTGGGGCTCTGCTGGCAAAGGGCATCCCCAGCCACCGCTCGCAGCACGGGTTCCCATGCTGTGTCAGCCGTTCGTGGGCATGCCCAGGCTCTGAGCGTGCAGACGGCGCTGGGGATGAAGGAAGGGCTCTGTTATTTGTTCTCGTCCAAAAATCAGCTGCTTTTGAACTCCTGTTTCAGTAGCCAAGTGTCCCCCTCCCTCCATGTCCAGTGAGGGCCCAGATGAATTAATTCCCTTTTGCTGCTTGGTATCCTGAGCGGAGAAGTCTCCCTGCCCGGTGTCAAGCTTAGGTTCTCATGGGACTAAATTCATGAGTCTGCTTCTTGCTGATACGGTCACAGGCAGAGTTGGGCATGTAACGTCCCGCACAAGTTCACTGACCCCTTATGCAGTTTCCAAGTGTATCAATATTTAACCTACCTTCCTGCTGCAGGTGAAGTGCATCCCACCTCTTTACATCAGTGCAGCACACTCAGTCTATAGTACCCCGATGGATGAAATAGAGGAATTGTCATAATATTTTATTTCAGTGAACAGTAACAATGAATTTTTTGATCTCTCTCTGGTGCTGCTAATATGTTTGTCTTCTCAAGCCAGTCATAGAACCGGGCAGCGCTGTGATCTGGTGGTATTTGTATACATTTATCTTGTTGCTCATGTCACGCAAACACATGGCCGAAAGATCTGTTCCTGCCCTGAAGAGTTTACACCCCGAGTAATGCGGTCCTGCATGGGACGCTGGTGGATTGGGCAAAAATGAAACACTTCCAGGTGGGGAGCGAGGTGGAGCGATTAGGGCAGAGGGAGGCAGTCGGGCTGTCTGGCCGGGGTTCCCAGCCCATTACCCATCGGTCGCGTGGTTTGGGCAAACCAGTTCCCCTGTAGAGCGGGGATGAGTCACTCCGGGTGTGAGGCTTGGTTCAGTGCGTGTAGCAAGTTTAGACTCTGGGGTCACTGCAGAAGTGCAAGATACTGCTTGGTTTGTGTTTTTTTTTTTTTTTTGCTTTTTGTTTTGAATAAACAGCCAAAGTTATGCTGTAAATTATAAAACCAAGCAAAGAGCAATGCAGAAATTTTAATCATCAGAGAATATAGTTACAGTATCTTTTATGTGGTTCAAATCTGTCAAACATTTTTAAATTATATTTTGCAATAAACTAGGTTTTTATATCCACATCTGGAACTGTAGCTCACAAAGAGCAACACGTTCGGACAGCTCTGCAAAGAGAGTTTCAAAATGCACTGTTACAGACTCCT